CCCGTTCCTCCTATCACAATCCCCCCTCCTCTTCACTATTTTTCTCTCTTCCCCCACTATCCTCCGTCGCCTCCATACTCTCCCTCCATGCTATCTTCCTCCTAACACAACGTTCGAATCCCTCCTCGCTCACTCACTAATTAGAAACCACAATAAATTGAAATCAATTCCTAATTAGTCTGGTTTCTAATTAGTAAGTTGGCGAGGAGAGATTTTCTATCACACATTGTTCAAGTACCTTAGCAAAAGTCGTATAATTTGTTGACTAACCGAAAAAAAAAACAATTTCAGATCCAAATGAATTCTGTTGCTATAAATAAATAATTAAAAAAAAAAATTGCTATTTATTTCCATCAGAAAAAATTGAGTATGAAAAACAAACCTCTCTCTTTTGTATCATCACCATAATAAAAACGACAAAATGAATTCAATTAATCGTCTGTCTATTATTTATTAGGATGTTGTAGTTTTTTTAGTTTATTTTAAATATTAGGAATATTAAACAAGTTAATTGTTTATTAGGAAAATTAAACAAGCTAATTGTATTCCCTCCTCCTCTCTCCCTCTTTGCTCTCTCGGCTTCTTCCTCCCTCACCTAACCTCCTTCCATCCATCCATCCATCCCTCCCCATCGCTCTCGTTCTCTACTCCCTCTCTTCCTCGATCTCGCTATTCTCTCTACCCATCCTCTCGGCTACCGTCTTCCCCTCATCTTGACTGTATCAAGCCGGAAAGATGGTGGGGGCCACGCACCGAGCTCCTCCCCTCCATAGCTTTAAGTTGTTCCCACACACTCCACTTCTTATCTAACTCCGTTTCCACTAATGTTCTATCCAAACTAACATCATACTCGGGTTCGCCCGCCCTAAAACCCCCTATATACACTCTTCGCTCGCCCGGTTCTGCAAAGAATCCCGCGAGTTTCCTCTTCTTATCGCACCTTATTAGTGTTTTTCGCCTTCTTTTCTATCCACTACACCTGGCACGAAAACGAGTCCAGGTTCCTTCCCTCCTCTTGACTTCACCTCCTTCCTTCTCTAAACATACATGGCCGAACTCCTGGCCGGGCTCGTGTGGCTCTATGGCTCAACGATAACGAGCAGGTAGGATCTTCTCCCTTCCCAATACCTTCTTACCTCTTACTCCCTGCTATCCCGCCTCGTTGTATCGCCCGTCGGACCTCATACCGCAGCGCCGAGTCTTACTGTTGCGCAGTAAGCCGCCCGACAACTCCAGCCGTTCCACAGATAACTTCGAAACGAGCCGGCCACCAAATGGTTCGATTAGCCTTTCGCCCGTACCCGATCCGACAATCAACCTTCGTGTCAGTACTACTGGCCGCCTCCACTAATACCCCCCGGCTTACCCTGCTCAGGAGTGTGTAATAACTCACTTGCCGGAGCGGTCCGCCTGCCCACGGGTAACGCTAAGCGTGTGGCATACCCCCAGGAGTCGTAGCTGCCCCAATGACGCAACGTGTGTGAGGACACGGACCTGTTGCCAGGCGTGCAGCGTGAGTCTCAGAAAGGCGGGCCTTCGCGCAGATTTTTGGTGGCAGCGGCCAGTATCCGCTTGGAACTAATTGAAGACCTGACTATAGGGAGTGGGCTCCAAGCGAGCCGCGGTCTATAGTGCGGCCTCCCACGGGCGCCCCCCCCGCTATGGCATAACCCACCTACCTGCGGGCCCCGGTGGGCATGCCTACACATAAACCTCTCCCAACAAATGGTTGGTGAAGAATCGTGCGTCCACAGCCGCCCCGGCCACGTAGGTGTCCCTCCACCTCGGGGCTAAATCTCCCACAGATTCTCATGCACGTTGGCCTCCATCAGTCCGCGTTCTCAAGTCCGCAGAACGTCGAAATTTCGCCAGCATCTCGAATTCGTGGGGAGTCGTGGGTCAGCCTAATGAAAATTGGCGCTCACAGCCCTTGTTTGCCGTGACGCCTTCTAAATCCGCCGTCGCGTCTGAGTCAAGGAATGTCGGGGCATAAAACTAAAAATGATACGACGTTAAATAATAAACTATTTGAGGAAATTTTAATCGTCAGAATACGACGAACCGAAGAAAAAGAGCCCACTAGCCCCGTTCTAATGCCGTCGACGGCAAAACCAAGGAGGATAGCCCCGCCGGGTCCTTGACCCCTCGGTCCCTTCACACTACTCTGACATCCGCGTTGTCGTCGCTCGACCTCGATCCTCGAATCTCCCGATGAAAGTCTGGCGCTGTAACCGCTAATGCTAGGCCTAAGTCTGGGTTTGGCTCTAACGGACGTCTAAATAAACCGGACCCTCTGGGCGACGCGCGGGCCGATAAAAAAAACATCCCAACGCCACCCTGCTGTCGATGTCGTCCATACGCACAGATCTCAGGCAGGTGCATCAGTCAATAAAGTCATAATCTTTTAATCATAGTTTAACAAAAAAATAAAAATTTGGCCGGCGATCACGCCAACTCTTCAAGCATCAACAAGTAAAAAGATCACGCGCACCTAAAATCTGCGCGCCCATACACTCTTTATTCTAGTCAACCATCCAGTCAACCATCCAGTCAACGTAAATCACAGATGCAGCCGCGCCTCGCGCGGTATACTTAAACTTTTAACCAACCTATTTTCTGTCGCTTGCAAAAACCCAGGGCGGATACCCTTGTAAGGGTATTCGCCCCGACAGCTTACCAGACCATATTAAGCGACGTCCCCATCGCTTCGCAAGATAAAAAAGCTATAAATCCACCCAAAACTCCAAATGTTGATGAGAAAGGAACCAATCCGATTAGCCGACAGACTCAGGGTTGAGGCCTCCAACAATCCCAACCCTTATAACTATATGCCGCCAGGGTTCCAACCTGGGTTTTCATTGCCTTGACACTAGGACGCAGATGTACTGGACATACGTACTACAACATAAGTCTCAGCGGCCCCCCTCAACTGTCCTCTCCCCTTTGTCCATCCAGATGCGCCTCCAACTCTTGCAGATATTCTCCAGACGTTGGCCCCTCTTCTCGTGTGCGCTGTTGAGATCCTCCCAGTCCTCCCTGAGTAAAATGGTGGAACTCCACCGGTCCTAGCCCGCACTCAGGATATGCCCCTCGCCCTTCAGTCTCAGGCACTGACTCCTATTCTCGCTTGGCGAGTGCCTTCTGTCCTCCTCGAGATGGCCTGGCCTCCCTGGGTTCAGGGTCCCTCTGCCTCTTAGTCCTCTGGCATCTCTCGACTCTGGGCTGGGCCGGCTCTAGCCGTCGGAACGCCTCTCTCAAGTGCACCCTGCCGCTCTCCCAATCTCGGGCCATATCCCTGATCTGCCTGGCCAATGGCCTCTCCGCTTTTCCGGTCCACAAGGGCAACGTTCTCGCCCACTCATCCCTCAATATACCATGGCCATGCATGAACTGCTCGTAGGCGGGAATGAACTCCTCTGCATTCCCGATCTCCAGGCGGATCGGTCTGCCGTTAGGTCCCACAGGTGACGGTCGTAGCTCCTGCATCCTCGCCTCCACCTCTGGCCTCGTCCTCGCCTCCCTATGAATCTGTGCAATGAGCTCTGCGAACCTGCCGGCTCCTCTCAGCCTCTCGATCGCCTGGGTCATAGTCCAACCCATATGATCTGCATTCCCCCAGAACTCGTCCAGGAACAACTCAATATCCCCATCGTCGTGCACTGGCGTACTCTCTCGGTGGTGAGACCCATGCCGCTCGTAACCTCCTGATGCTCCCGACGGCCTCCGTGGCGGTCGCGTCCCCCTCCCTCCTCTTGGCATGACTGCCTTCGTAAAGTCAGACCTACACAACAGGTGAAGGGGACAACAGACACACATTGGGGTAAGCAAACAGGTGGTAACTAAAGCAGGCTCAGGTCAAACCAAACACATACAACATGCATCTTATTTAATCTACCCATCCTATCATCCCTACTTTAAAGAAGCCAGATCATCTAGCTTACCTCTTCCTTTGCCACAAACTTCTTCAATCTTGCTCCCGACACCTAATCCTTCCACTCTGTCCTATTTAGCTCTTCAATCTGATATGCGCGGAAATCTCCGCATTGCACAATCCGGTAGGGACGTAACCACCTCTTGTCGAGTTTCCTGGATCACTACTTTTCAAAGGATGAATCATACAGGAGTACAACGTCCCCAACTGCCAATAGTACTTTCCTTATTGGTGCCAATGAGCCTTATCCTCCATACGACTCTTCTCTACTTGGTTGGATGCCTCCTGAATTCTTTCCTCTATCGTATCCACCTGCCGCGCTCGAATATCGAGCAATTCTTCGAAAAACAGATTAACCTCCAAATACTGACGCCTCCAAGTCTTTAGGAAACTCTCGATCGGGAAGGTAGCGTGTTTTCCATACCACACTGTAGCCGATGCGTATTTAGTGGTCCTTTTCACCGTAATATTCTCGACAAAGAATACCGCCCTCAGGTATCTTGGCCACTAATTAGGCCTACCCTCAGTCCACTTAGCCAGAAGGCTCGTAATGGTGTTGTGTCCTCTCTCCACTGGAGCGTTTGCCTGGGGGTGCGCGACCGTGGTGTAATTAGCTACTACGTCGTACCTTGATAACAACTCTTGTACTTCCTGGCGGGTAAACTCCGACCCTCTATCCATTACGAACTCTTTGATAAAGGGATAACGCAGGTAGTACTTCTCGATGCAGCTAACCAAGACCTGCCCAGTCTTTGTACGAATGACCCGCACATCCACAAAGCTAGACAGGTTATCACGCGCATCGAAGATGTAGTTGTAACCATGATCCCCAAGTGGCATGAAGAGCAAGTCGAGATGTACCTCGGATGCAACAACTTTCCTGGCCTCAAACGAGATCGTTTTTGGCAGGGTACGCAGGACCGGTAGAACTTACTAACCATATCCATTATCTCATCCCAATAATATAGCTCACTTATCTTGGCATATATGGCACTAACTCCTCGATGTCCTCCCGCAATGCCATCATGAAGTGCCGCTATAACGTCAATCTGACGGTTCCTGCCACATACAACCCTCCTAGGATTTCCCACCTGCCTCTTTACGAAAAGAAGACCATCCCTTGCCAAATAGCGTTGCATCATCCTTTGAGACCTATCGCTCGCATCTCTATTCCGCATTTCGCACGACAAAAGAAGTCTCAGTTCCAGGTAGATTCCATCATACTCCTCTGCACGGAATGCTTCTTTGATCTCCCCTTACTCAAACTCGTCATCCTGGCTCTTTGGCACCACATCCTCATTCTCAGTCAGGTTCACCGAGCCTATCTAATCAAAGCCTCCTTGCAGAAGTATATTGACGAGGAGATACATCCCTCCCATCAATTCCTCGTGCCTTTCTACCTGATTCGGTCCTTCCTCTATCGCCCTTACTTCCTCTGCCAGACTATGGGTGCCTGCCAACGCCAACTTCATCATCTACTGGACGTTTTTACCGCCCCATGGGTCTTCCTCTTCGAAAGGCTTGAGAACCAGCTCTGCCTTCCGTTCATACCCATTTGGAGCATGCCAGATAGGATGACCCATGCAGCTAGGCACTCGCGAGGACCACTTATTGATGTGACGACGGATGTCCTCCTCCTGATCTAGGAAACCATCAACTGGGGGCGTGTTCTCCACCGCCTCCCTCTCTTGCTTGTCCCAGTTGATACGGCTCAGCCCGTCCGCCCTGTTCTTATTCCCAGGAATCCGCTCCAGCTCGAAATTAAACATCCAGATGTGCGTCAGCCATCTGGCAACAGTCGGATCCGATGGAACGTAATTCCTTAGGGAATAGGCCAGAGCAGTCGGGTCCACTCTCAATATGAACCTCCTGCCAAAGATATAGTTTCGAAAGATTCGCAGACAGTGGAGGACGGCGAGAGTGTCTCGCTTGAACTTAGAGTAGTTTTTTTCAGTCGTACAAAGAGTTCGACTTTCAAATCGCAGCGATCTCTCTTTCCCTTCTGTATCTGCTTGGATCAAAAGTCCACCTAAGGCAGTCGGTCTAGCATCCGTTTCAACGATGAATGGCCTTGTCCCTGTGGCATCATAGTTCGACGCTCCCAATACCAACCCTCCTTCTTTGAACTCTTCCTTCATTTTTGTCACTACTCTCTTCTGCTCTTCACCCCAGACCCACTCTTGATCCTGACGAACCAATTTTTTCAGGTGCTCAGTCTTTGCGGCGAAATTTTTGACGAATGTCATTCAAAATCCACATGTGTCGAAGAAGCTTCTAACATTAGTTATTGAGCGGAATGGTACTGGTCACTCTATAATCTTGTCCGTTTTCTTTACGTCCGGCCGACGACCCTTCTCACTACAGACGAACCCTAAGATAGTAGCTTCCCTCATGCAGTGTCTGGATTTGGCCCCACTCGCAGTGAGATTATGCTCTTCAAGCAGGTTCAAGGCTTTCTCAAGGTCCTGAATATGCCTCCAGACAAAACGCCTCACTCCTGGCAGGACTTTGTCGTTCTCCTTCACCATTGGCCCCTTCACCGCGAAGTCATCAATATATGGTTGTGTGATGTGCAGGCTGACTGATTGCATAGCTCGAATCATAACACGCTGAACCATCGCTACCGCGTTGGTCCACCCTTGTGGGGCCACATTCATATGGATCAGCCCTCGAGGCGTGTGCATTGCCGTCACTGGCCTGTCTGGCGGATAGACCGAAAATTTGTCATATTCGGAATAAAGGTCTATGAGCAAAGTTATAGGTCTTCCAGCACAGGATTCTGACAATGCATCCGCATTTGGCAATCCTCCCGCGTCTCGCACAGTTACCTCATTCAGCCGTTGCAGATCTTGCACCCATCGCAGCGTCCCATTGGGTTTGATGAAACAAAACCATGGGGATGCGTACGGCCCACTTAAGTAATCGGCGACATGCGTACGTATCTTGCCGTCGAGATAATCAACCACCTTCTTCTCTTCGTCAGGATTAGGATATCGCGCCCCTCTCAAGTTCTATGACTCGTGCGGCACGGTATGGATGCGGATCATAGGAATCTTGTCCACATCCAACCTACCGCACTCCTCATCACTAAACGCATAGGTGCGATGCCTCTTCTTCATTAGTTCTATCATTAGAGCTCTTTCCTGGGGCAGTAGGAAGTCAGACTCTCCTATTATCAACTTCCCTTTGTTCCCTTCGTTGATACAACATGGCCCAATTGAGGCGCTCTCCTTCATTCGCCGTATCAACCCTCACTCCCGTTCGTAGTACACTTCCTCATCTTCGGTAACGAGGACGAGAACTAAGCGACACTTTTTATCTATCGTCTTGTACCGCCTTTGAGAACCCTGCTTGAGCCGTCCCCTAAAAAAGGCCGGCTTATGGCTTGTGCTTGCATCGACGCCGGGTTCCTCCTCCCTTCTGGAAGTCGATACACCAAGTCCAACTCCCCAGCCTGGGGGCATTCCAGGACTTGCTCTCTCACTGCCTGGATGGCGTCTTGATCCGCCATCTCATGCGTGGCCATTATGTCCATGGCCTTATTTACGTCCGACAGACTGAGGGGAAACGCCTCGATTCTTTCCTCCTCTTCTGGCTCCGCAAAGAGTCTCCGGCGCTCGCCTTCTGACTCCTCAATCGTGAATGAGCGCGGATTGGGCCGGTTCCTTACGCTTCGAGGCCCTGTATTCCTGCAGGTACTCACCTCATAATTTCCGCAGGCAGGGTCACACATGATAAGGATCAGAGTCCCACCGTGTTTGTTGAACATCAATGTCCCTGTCCTGCATAAGAAGGACCTCCCCAAGAGAATCCTGTGATCCACGTTAGGCATAACGAAGAAGCATGCCCTGACCTTTACTCTTCCAACCTCGATAAGTACATTCGAGGCTGTCCCGCAAAACACCGCTTTGCAGTTGGCTCCATGCAGGATACCGCAATCCGAGCGGTCTATCTCCAATCCGAACCTGATCGCGTCAGCCTCCCGGATAATATTCGTTTTCGCTCCCGTATCCACCATGGCTGAGCATTTGGAGCTCTTTACCACCAGATCCACCGTGTCACAAGCTACGCACTTCCAGTCCATCTTTGTCCCCGTCTCTACCCACTCTGCTTCCTTAGGCAAAATCATACTTAGATGGACACTGGGTACCAGGCGCCGCGACAACCTCCCCTTCAGTCCGTCACGGAGCTTAGGTGCCGACGCCAAGATCTCCTTTAGGGTCATAAGGTCGTTGTGACCCTCCAACAACCTATCAATCACCCTCTCCACGTCGAACCCTTCTTCCAGCCGAACCGTATATTTTCTCTTTTTGGGCGGCACATCTCGCATGATCGGCTCTACTTCTTCCCTGGCCTCTCTCTTTCTAGCCCTCTGTTCCGCCCTCTGATCTTCCTCTTGGCGCAACCTTTCATCCTCTTCTTCCTCCTCGTCATCATCCTCCACTTCTACTACTTCCTTTCTCTTCTCTGGTTCAGGTTCTTTTCGAGGAGGCTCTTGGCTTGCACCGGCCTTAGCCCAACCTCGGGTACGAGCAGTCTGCGCTAGTATTCCTTGCGGCGTAGGAGGTCTGGTTATCATCCTTGACCGCAGGCCTGATCCCACGGTGGTCACCCCGGGTCGTCCTGGCATGGATTTTGGGTCGGAATCATAGAGGAAGACCTTGGGGATGCTGATCCTTCATTCCTTCACCCCTTCACAGAGGTTTACCAACTTCTGTTGGTATCTTCCCACCTTGTCCAACAGGTCTTCCATCTTTCCCAGCAGGACAAATGGGGGCTCTACTTTCTCCTCTTCATTCTCGTCGTCTAAATCAACGACTATGGGCTCTTCCTTTATATCCCCTGCCGGCAGCCTTTGAGTCATCTCCTCATCACTCCCCACTTCTTCTACCCTGACTGGTGGATCCGCTTTCTCTTGCCACATCCTAAATGTGGCTGGCGGTGCTTGTTGTGCGGCCACCCTTCTCTGGGCCTCCGCCCTTACTCCGCCAGGGACCTTCCTGTCATTGTACTCTCCGAACTGATCGTATATGTCACCATCCATGTTGGAGTAGATCAGTCCCACTCTTTCGTCTTCTCGCCTTGTATTGCAGAACCGTATGGTGTGACCTTGCTTGTCACAATGTTGACATATGGCGTTCTCCAATCAAAGCGGGTTCTCCCGCTTCCCTGGCTCCCTTGGTTACCTTGACTTCCCTGGCCCTGGTAACCTTGGTTATCCCATTGACCTCCTCGACCACCTCCATTTCTGCCGCATCCTCTCCCACCGCCTCTTCCTCCATTCCCCTAGTTTCCTTGGCCTTGATTACCTCCACCCGCCACACTACCTTGTGAGCTAGGGGCGGGCGATGGAGGCGGCACTACGGGTTGGGCCTGAGCGGCGGGGTAGCTTGGGGGCGGCATACTCGCTTGGGGCCCAACATATGGAACCACCTGTCCGGACGGAGCCGGACTTCCCCATGGTACAAACATATTGTATATTGGTCATGGCCACTGCCCGAATGGTGGAACCGCCACTTGCGAGGGTCCCGCGCTACTTGATGGAGCCGACGCACTTGGTCGCGAGACTACCACTGTCTGAGGCATCTGCCCTTTTCCTGACCCTTGCCCCCCTTGAGCTAAATTGCGCTGCTTGCATAGCGCCTTCGAGAGGTGTTGTGACGCAGACTTTTCCTCTTCCCACTCTTCTTGAGCATCTTCCTCTACTACTGGTACTTTTCCCTTACCTTGGACCACCGTCACTACCTTTTTCTGTACTACCCCATCTTTCCCACAACCCAGTTGCGTCAGCACGTCAGTGACAATCCTTCTCACTCCCGGGGTTTCGGAGGTTGTGGCATCCCTTTCCTTCCGCTTACGCCTTTGCAGGCGCATCTGGTATTGTTCCACCTCGTCCAAACTCCCTTCTGCTACGCCTTTGTCAATAGTGGCCCACGTAAGTTTCTCGCTTCCTCCTCCATGGCTTATTAGTTCCGCGGCCTCCGCGGCGGTGAGTAGCCCCAGAAAGATAGCACATTGGGCTTCCTCTAAGATGCCATGAACCTTTCTCGCCTTCTTCTTAAATTCTTGCACGAACGCCGCCACCGTGGTGAAGTCATCCCTGTTCATGGCTTCTAGGTCCGCCATGGTCAGCAATCCATCGCCCAGCCTATACTTCCTCCGCATCCCATCCTTAAATCGTGCCCAGCTGTCATTGCCCGCGTTTACAACCTTCTCCACCTCCTGATGGTGGACATGAAGTACATACTTCAGGATGCGCTTGAATTTTACTTCATCCGGTAACCCCACCAAGTCTTGCTCCACCAAGTCCAACCAATCAGAGACTCGTTCCCCGTTGAAGTGGAAAGTGTTGACTTTGGGGACATTGCTTGGCGTCCTTTCCCTCTTGTCCAGCGCCTCAATGAGATCCTCAAGTGTCAAGACTCTCCCTTCACCATCTGTTATAGGCCCCGACATCCTTACGGTTCTCCTTTACTCGCCTTTCCCTGCTTTAAGAAGACCACATTGTCTCATTCAGCAATCCGATTCTATCACACCTTACGTCAGACCTCTACCATAGCTAGCCTATGACTCAGGCCCAACAGGTTCCACCCTATTTCCTCTCCAATTGGATTTATTATTAATACGCTTCATTTCTCCTTACAGGGTCCCTCATAACTTTGCAGTTTAAGCAATCAGTCCATTTCAGAGATACAACAACTATTTTATCGCAGATAATCAGACAATATATTACGTGCTTAGCCTTTCCTCATATGCCTATTTTCTCTCAAGCTTATACCCGGATATCGTTCCACCAGGGACAACGGTAGGCTTCCGTTATCCCCTACAACGGCGCCACCTGTCGAGTGCATCGGTCCGGCACCACATAAGGCAGCGCGGGACCCTCCCGGCCGCGTCACGCAGAAGTTGATTTTAATCCTCGTCGCAAATGCAGATGGAGCTGCCGCAAGCCGCTCCGGGCGAGTGCGCCAGCCATACCTCTCACGAGCCTCTACGATAGGATAGGGCCTATGCGAGGTACAACTTACCTCCATCTTACGGGAGCTGTCACCTCCCTTCGATGGGCGTATCCCCGCCGAGCTACCAGTCCACATTACGTAAGTTGATCAGTTGCAATCGCAAAGGTAGACCAGCCGAGGGCGTTGCTCATTCGCTGTCGCATAGGGGGTACACGCGGTAATACACCTCTATCGGACCCGCTCAAGAATTGGCATCTTGGGGGGCTGAGGTCCCAAGCGCGATTCATCGCCGGTCGACTAGGACGCATCCCACACACCACGCGCACACCACTATAAAGAATATAAAAATAAAAACACACACACACGTACTTATATATGTACAGAACGACACTGAACAAACAACGTGACAACACTCCTAGCCCCTGAAATTTCTAATGCGGAAATTGGATAGGCGTCGCGCGCGAGACTTATTATAAAACTGCGCAGACGCAGGGCTAATTTATATCGATTCGCAATGCAAGCGCACGCAAGCGATCTTAATGATGGCGTACTATGTAGTACCCATACTCATGCGATCCTCGTTAATCTCTAGGGTCGCGTTCGACACTCAAGTGTCGGCTGACACTCGCCTTGAGGGTTAATCTCTTGACGCTGGACAACCGCCAAGTGTGGTTGAAGATCACACTCTCTTCTGCACCCTGCGGAGAGTGGGTGGTACACAGGTTCATACCTGTGGTGACAATCGTCTCTTATCGCCCTGGAGACCAGCTCCTTCCCCTAGGGCCTGAAAACGAGTCAAGGGTTTTGACTTTGACGGCTGCCGCGGACTACAACGTCCAACTATAATAACTCTAAGAAGCAAAAATAAGTCGAAGAGCCTCCACATCCCAAAAATCACAACCTTGGGTAGCCCTGCCGGTCGGCACCAATGACCTACCCTGACTCTGGACACACACGCATACATGCGAATCATTTGATCCCATAACTCTAGACACTAGGATGGGCGAACGTCGCGCGCAAGACTTTAATATAAAGGTGCGCAACTGCATGCCCTTCCTTCATCAACCGACGATGCTAGTCATACGCGGCAATCGCAGTTTCGGCCTCGCGATATTGAATGGCTGAAGGGATATATCGTGAGGGGTTGCCCTTCATGATATTGAACGGCTGAAGGACATGCCGTTCAGCCCTCGCGACATTTCTGGCCCCAGGGTTGGGTGTCTCGACGGGCAGGGCAGATAGGCTCTGCGCAAGGGAAGGTTCCTTCCCTGCAAAGTCTAGGGTCTGGGATGTCTTGGACAAGGACCTCGAACCCTGGCCCAGGACCAACGTCCGACTAAGAATCCTTCAAGAAACATACAAACAAAATAGAGGTCCCCTCCCCTTAATTCGATCTCAACCCCCAATTAAAACCTTAGTACGTGGTCCCCTCGAGCCACGCAAACATCCGACATATATACACACATATATATGTATATAAAAGAGGTAAGTATGTGACGATCACTTCTCACAATCACAGTGGGACACCTCACAGCGATATGTATATGTGTGATCGCAAGAAGTCAAATCAAAATCTGAACCACACAACATACTAGCAATCACATCAAAGAGTCAAACAAGAGTCCACGCACTACACGGAGTCAACCCCAACCGCTCTCTGTACTCATACCCCTCCCTTCAGCTATCATGTCAAACCAACCATAATTAAATACTCAGTACCTTTGTTAAATGGTCATTCAATAAAAGTCCGGGTGAAACCTTAACAAAACAATAAAATCACCAGGGCTAAAGCCTTTTAGGTTGGGTATTGAGGGTGAGTTCGAATTGAGTCATAAACCGACGAATTGACAACCAACAAGCTGAATCTAGTCCAGATCTTGAATCAATCGATCAAGAGAACCTGTAACACATGACAGGCCAATCCCCCAAGCTAAATCTATATGTCTACGGAAAATAATCCTCATATCACGATCTCACTAAAATCATCCTAATTAACTAAGTCGTTTACCTTTAAACAAGCGTCAATAGAAAGGTAGACCCTGATAGAGTCTCCTCCATACAGAGCAGATTTTCCAGAATTGCCACTTGTCAATTATAATCCAACTCCTCTAAACTAGGAAAGTTTTGGCAGCGCTTCCCGTAGGAAAAGTGTCATCGCAAAATTTATACGAGCTAAAAAATTGAGCTTTTATTTTTATAAAGTCAAAAATTTGTCTAATTCCCTAAATAAGTAAAAATTGGGCAGCACTTCCTCTAGAAAGGGAGACTTCCCATATTTATACTAAGACAACCATGAACTAAAACATAAAATATGAGTCCAACCAAGACAAATTTTAACTAACTCCCTAGATTTGTAGAAATTTCGGCAGCGCTTCCTATAGAGAAAGTGTTATTCCAAGATTTATACAAAGCTAAGTTCAAAATTTACAGTGACTTTGACTTTTTAGAGTTTAATTTTGTCTAACTCCCTGAATTAGCAAAACTTTGGGCAACACTTCCTTTAGAAAAGGAGATGTTCCATATTTTTACTAAGCCAAAAAGTTAGAAAAGTTAGACCCTCAAAAAGACAAAGTCTGACTAACTCCTTGGTTTTGTAGAAATTTCGGCAGCGCTTCCCGTAGAGAAAGTGGCTTACCAAAATTTATACAAGGCCAAGTATAACAAAAGATCCCAGAAAATGCAGAAATAAACTTACGTAAAAAAACTTAGCTCAGAAAAGGCAGACCTTCCCAAACTTATAAAATTCTCTCAGTCTTGGGTGACCAAGTCAAACACATGCAATACTGCCTTTTTCCCATCCTTCCCCCAGATGGAGCCCCACAATCTGCTTTCAGTCAAACAGCAAAACTAAAACTGACATTGCGCATACATTCCTTTAATTAGTCTGGTTATGTCTTGAAAGTCAAACTGAAAGTCAAAATAGGGACGCATGCAGTATACTCAGTTAAAATGCAACAGGGAATACAGATAGGGGCTATAACTGAGTTTATCGAGGGGAAACAATGATTACCTTTCAGTTCCTTGCCTCTAGAACTTCTCCTGAGTTCCGACAGAGCTACCGAGAGATGGTTAACAACACACACTATTTAGAGGTCACTTTCAGCCGCTTCAGGTCCCCACCTGAAATTCCTGAAACGACCTGAAGTGGCTGATGCTTCTGAAAGGGGTTTCAGGTACCCTCATGCAAATGGTTGGATGAGGGTACCCGAAACCCCTTTCAGAAGCTTCAGCCACTTCAGCGGTTTCAGGTCCCCACCTGAAATTCCTGAAATGACCTGAAGTGGCTTAAGCTTCTGAAAGGGGTTTCGGGTACCCCCATCCAACCATTTGGATGGGGGTACCTGAAACCCCTTTCAGAAGCTTCAACCACTTCAGCGGTTTCTGCAATGACCTGAAGTGGTTGAAGCTTCTGAAAGGAGTTTCAGGTACCCCCATCCAAATGGTTGGATGGGGGTACCCGAAACCCCTTTCAGAAGCTTCAGCCACTTCAGCGGTTTCAGGTCCCCACCTGAAATTCCTG